TGTAAAGGTCGCCTATTTCCACAATTTAATTGATCGATGGAAAAGAGTGAATTCATTCGGGGAAGCGGAAGTTGACCAGGACTGGGTTAAATCTGAATGCGAGGTCCCCAAGCAGTGCTGGCGACCAACCGACGATCAGGTGACAGATGAAGACGGAGGAGGTGACTGGACAATGCCGCAGTAGGACTACAGGCACCTTGTGGATGGAAGGACATGACACTAGAAAACTTGAGGTGAGAGATCGGAAGTGTCAAGTTGCCGGATTGCAGTGAGTAAAACTGAAAACTCGTTCTCCCTCTCTGCCTTGCTGATCTCATCCGCGATATTTATATTTGCTTTAGAAATATCTCCACCAGTAGGACGGATAGAAACTGAGTGAAGTTTTTGGTAGAAATTTTTACTGTTTCGATAGAATGGTGGAGGCATTTCAAGACGCCTGAAAAATCTTTCTTAGACTCTTAGTTGTTTCACTCAAGGAAGCAACCCTTGGTGCTAACATAGATAAGTTGATTAAGTAAGAGTCTACGGAAATTGAAGCCCGCGGTTTGCTGCGTGGCAACACGTAAACGATTGTGCATATAAATTGTGTCGAAAACTGGAGAGTAGTACAAGGCGGTGTAGTATAGCAGAAAAAGTGAAAGTCTAGTTAAGCAAAAAAAATTTGTTGTTAAAAAAGGGATTAGATGTTAGACAAAGAGTCGAGTTGATGTGTTAGACTAGGCAATATACCTCAGTAGAGAGACGGCTAAAAAACTTTGTTTTTAGCATTATTCGGCTTGAAGTGAAGACTGTAGAGTTGGTGATTGTACTGTATTACATGCTATAGAAACCTGAATGTAAGATTGATTCGTCATTATGTTAAGCAGTAGAGCAAACGAAGGGTAAAGTTCGAAATAGTTCAATCTTCGAAGATATCGTCCCTCCTATGCCAGAAAACAAAACTTTACAAAATTGGCAACCCCCCCCCCAAATCGAAACTAAGAAAGCTAAAGTTGTGAAATTCAGAGGAGCGATACTAGAGATGATTTAACCCGGGCAAGCAAAAATCTTGAGCCGTTAGACCTTTGGGGGGCAAGTGATAACGGTCCCCGAAAGTGTAAATGGCCCTATCAGAACTCAAAAACTAGCAGCGGGGTTGGGCTTAAACTCTAGTATATTGTAGGCCTAGTTGAGGGAAGTTTAAGTTTGGAACCCCAAGCCCCTAAGACCCCCACTTCCGGTTTTATGCCCTAAGTAAAAAAAAACCCACCCCTAACTCCAGAAGTTGTTTCCCGGCCAACGATGAGTGCAGGGAGCTGAAACTTGGAGGGATGATAGGTAGTGGCAAGATACATCTTGTTTTATAATTTGAACCAAATCCGGCTTTGGATCGGAAGCTATTAGCACTTGAAAAGACACCCCTTTAGACCGGAAATAGGCAATTTACGCGAAATAATGAGCGAGGTCATAGCAATTTTAGGGCGGCATCAGATACTACAACTCATCCCCGGAAAAAACACCCCTAGTGATTGAAACCCCTCCGGCGACTCCTTCCGGTGTTAATAGCGTTTTCCCGCAAAAAGTGATAAAGGATCTTAGAAATGGGATAGCTTTGGAAGTATTAAGGGGGTATGGATGAAACTTAGTAGATAGGACACCTATGGGATTCTAAACCTGAATGTGAAGATTGACCCCGGGTGACCCCGAGTTGATCTCAAAGTAACCTTTGGGCGTTAAAGATCAAATTTGTATAGAAAACCTCGGGATTAACACCGGAAAGTGGCGTATTCCCCAGCCCAACTCCTGGAAATGAGAATGGGGCACCTTGCTAAAAATGGGGGGAAAGCTTATATATTGGGAACTAGAGCAGAAGCTGATAGAGATATAGCTTTTACATTGCAACCTTGGAGTAGAGGAGTTAATTTAAAAAGGTCTTGGTAAACATTGGGTTCAGTTTGTTTTGGCAAGTGATCTTTTAATAGCAATTCAACTAGATAAAGAAAAGTAGTCCCAGAGGAAATAAGTAGTAATAGATGCATAGCATGAGAGTTAAATTTCCTAAACAATATGAATGGACAGGGATTTCATTTGACTTCACGGAGGTGACTTTTTGGTTTGATTTGACCCCTAATAGAGGAACTACGTTCCTTTGATAGCTAGAAAGTCGGGATTGGAATAGAGTACAGGTAGAAATTTTAGATACCTGAAATTGGTTAGCTACCCATGAAAAAGGCCTCCCCCTACCCTTGGGAGGTCGGCACGTTAACGGGATAATTGAAATAAAGACCTTGGGAAAAATTAACTGAGTAAAGATGGCTTGGTTTGGAGGTTGAGTTGAACTCGAGAGCTGAAGTCCACCGAGTTCAGGAATTGGTTGATTAGAATCGTATAACATTTGTTTGCTTGGTCAAATTGTGACAGCTACCGCATACCGGGTATCTAATAAGTGTGAAAAGATTGATAAAAGAAAACGAAGTTGGCACGTAGCAGAGTAGACAGAGGGAGGGATATAGTCTTAAAACATGTGCGGACGGGTGATTTAGGCGGATGTCAAGACTGACAGGGAATGGCGTGACTTTAGTATAACTAAGTGTAAAGAAAGATAAGGAATTGGAGGGTACTGGAGAGCCTGTAAGAGTCAGAACAGTGTTAGCTGCCATTAAGAGTAGTTGGTTCTCGTCAGAGAAGAGAACAATTGTTGGCTACTATTAAGAGTAGTTGGTTCTCGATCAGAGTAGAGAACAATTTTTGCTAGCGAGCGAGCTGATTGGAACCCGAGTTTAGTACTTGGTTGAAATAGCTGTGCGAGCGTGTTTCTCTGCTAGAGTAGGCGAGTTTTAAAGCGAGTCAACCGAAAACTGACGAGCGATTGAACGGAACGGGACGCGGGCTTCAAAGTAGAAGTTGTTGAATAGTAGTTAGCTCATTAAAGGCACTGTAAATTGATTTGATTTCCTTTGCGATTGAGAATTTACTTAGTGTGCCCACGATTTGCTGAACTAGCTAGAAGCACGAGAGGAGAGCCGAAAAGAGCCTAAATTAAGGGGGGGAGTTGCCTAATCCTTTGATTGGCCGATTTAGTCTGACCACCAACATAACCCTTTCGGGATTGTGAATCATATCGTGTCTTAGTGCCCCGCTATTACACGGTATAAAAGGGAGAAACTCTGCGGCAGTTGAGTAGAGTGAAAGCGTGCTTAAAGGAGACGACTCCCCGAAAAAGAATCTACATGGTCAAATGAGTTTTTTTCTGTGCGTCCTTTTAATGATATCCGTTTAACTTTCTGACCCATAATGCTGAGTTTGTGTGGTTGTGTAATGGGTGTAAAACTCGGCAAAACCCTGTGTTTAACTGAAAATATTTCCTAAAAACTCGTGAGTCTTTTCAATCAGTGATTTGTAACAGCAATAGGTAAGTGTTTGTAATTGGGAGCTAGACTTTTTTGCACTTAATAACTTGTTTTCACAAATTTGTGAGAGGTAGCCATTTCCAGCTGACTGTGAAGATTTGTTTATTTCCCTCGAATTGTTTGTATCTTCAGTTGGGCGATAAATTTTTTTCAATTATTCATGAGTTGAGGAGGTGCGAATCTTGAAAATTTAAAAAATGAGCTTCAATCTTCGAAATCCAACGTCCTCGGCCAATATAGCGGTTCATATTTTAGAATTCAACAACCACAAGCAGATTTTTGTCTCATTTTATTTCTCTTCTCAAAATGATCTACATGAGACAAACGTATGAAAGTTTGATACAAGTAACTCTTGAAATTTGCTCTACTTTTTTGCATACGTGACTTTTTGCTTGTGTTGCTTTTGGGTTGCTTATGATTTTGTTCTACTGCAATTGGTTCAAGTTTTTCTCCGCCTGACTGCAAATTCTTTTTACAAATATCGATGATATTACAAAAACTTTCTTCCATCGTTTTTAACTTTCTCTGAGAGAAATTTTCATCTTCAGCGGTTAAAATTGCAAAATCATTTTCGTTGAGAACAATTGGCATTTTCTTTTCCGTTTTGTTCAGAAAGGCTACTTGAACACCGTATTGAAGAAAGGGTACTATATATCCAACATAACAATTCAGCTTAACCTTAATTGTTCAACACACATATTACATATACTTTTCTTTTTATAAAAACAGCGAGTTCATTGCTTTCGACGCGCGTGTTTTTTTGTTTTAATGCCACGACAAATAGCTGCACGTGATTATCTCAAGATCTTTCTGGTTTTTGTGACAGCTTTCTTGTTGCTCTTTTGGCAGAAGACTCTGTTGCCCTTTAAAGTTCATAACCTTACGTTTATCGATATTGAGGATCATGTGATTCTGACCACGCCATCCAAGGAGTGTCTCCAAGTCATGCAGTGCATTGTGTTGTGAAGTGAAAAACAGCAAATACAACGAAAGACATTGCTCTAGTTCACACATCATGCAATTCCAAGCACATGATACAGCTGCCATCTGCTCTGTTTCACACATCAAGCGTGTTGAGCGCTGCGTTTTCAAACTCATTTCAAAGTTCAAAAAAAAAACATTTACTTAAAAGTTAATCGTACGATTATAAACTATTGCAATCAATTATAATAGATTTTAATGGATTTTTTTTCGAAAAAAAATCGACTACATGGACCATATAATCTATTAAGTGAATTATTTTGCATCAGAAATGGACTATAACGACAACAGTGTAAACAATATTATCGATTATTGTCCATGGGTCTCCGGTGCGTGTAAGTTTGAAGGAAGTTATATGGCTCGTCTAAGAAAAGTTCCAGTATAGCTCCTTTTGGTCACAAGTTAAGATGAGAACTATCACTGAAAAAGTTTGAAGGTTTTGCTTGAAGTTTAGTGAAATCTTTCGTGTCATTAAGTTTGTCCTACCAAAATTGCGTTCAAGATAATGTTTTCAGATGTTCTGATTCCATTCTAAAATAATTGATTTTTAAATTATCCTCTAACATTTCCGCTTTCGAACTCACAAATCGGAAAACTCTCTGGGAAAAATTTATTCAAGCTGTGAGGAAATGAAAAAAATATGTACTCAATTGACTCTAAAACTAAATTTAGGTGATAGCCATAATTTAAAAAAACTTGTGGCTTTCATATTTTAAAAAAATCACTGACAATTTGTTTTTTATTTATAAATCAAATAAATATTATTGCAAAAACAAGATATTGCACCATTGAAATTTCAATTTGAATTTTGGCACTGTGATTGCACATAAACTGAGAAAATTGCGCAATTTTAATAAGAATTACGTAATCAAGCGGTCGTTTCGCTGACGTCAGAACCCTGGCGAGACGATACAACTCGTGGTCTACGCATTAAACTTCGTGTTCTCGTCGCTGTCGAGGCTGGTTGATAAAGTAAAGGCGGAACGGAGGGTGCGGGGATCGAAACTCCGCCCCCTTCTCCATTTGGATTTGTTAGGTAATTTCCATCGGAGTTTTCCATGTAACTTGAATGATTGTGATTGGCTGACTGATTTTGCAGCGATGAGTTTATATTTGCGACGGACACTAAGTAGGTTGAAAATTGGGTCAGAGTTGTGTGAAGTGATTCTAATTTCTGTTCTATTAAGTTCATTCTAGCTTCTAAGGTTTCATTATTTTCCTGCATTTGTTCGTAGATTTGTGATATGATTTCTTGTGTCTGAAAACAAAATTGTGTACAAAAAAATGAGGCACAATATCAGTCCAACGTAATACTTAAAAACAACATGAATTAAAATGACTTCAACTGTTATAAATCATATCAAAAAACATCGATGACAAAAAACCATGACAAAGCCGAAATTTACACCAAATTAAAAATTATGAGAGTTGTAGCTTGCCTTAAAAACTGCAAATTGTCTTTTATTAGGAGTTCACTTTCATCATTTTGGGTCGTTTCTGTTATACGGCCCAAAAACTAGTCTTTTTGCTATTTGGAAAGTTTGACGATGATGCTACAATATGATTGGTTGAAATTGATAGCAGGGAAAGTACATCCCAGCGTTTCCATCAAAAACAGAAGCCCAATCAACATGTTGATAGTTTGGGCCGCATAACAGAACAGGCCGTCGTTTTCACTCACCTTGGCTAAATCTACCATTTGGTTTGCTTGGTCGAACAGTTTGCGTTGATCAATTTTTGTCTTCCGAAGTCTAAAAGCAACAGCAATTCAGCTTGCAAGTTTTCATTTCCCCAAAAATGTCATATAGTTTTTGATAATTTAACCAGTTTTTTTAACTCTTCTCAAACGCTATAAAGATGTTAAAGTCAAAAATCTTCCTGAGCGTCTTGAGTTATGACTGGGGTGTATAACTCATAGAGTAATTTCGGATAGGGTACACCGTCTGCTCGTCACGCTATCTTATTTTCGGCCGGATAGATTCGTGCAACTTCTTAGTCTAATACCGATCCTAATCTTACTCTTATACTATCTAGTCTCAGGTTGTTTAACTAGTCTCTGCTAGGCTCAATAGATCTAGGGTATACTGGTTTATTGCGGCTGCTGAAGTGCTCGGGAGAGTCCAACTAATTTCTAAGTTAAATTCAAATCTCTCTGGTGCTGAAATTACAAGTAACTTCAGCACTTACAAATAAGTGGGTTGTTAGTTAGATGGATCATGATTGGTTAATATTAAATACTTTACATTGGTAAAACATTTAATTTATCCAATCATAAAATATAGTTTAGATCAGGTTCCACCCATCCGGGTTTTACAGAGTTTTTTAGAACAGTTCTTCTGTAGTTCAAGGATGGATGATGGACGTTGGTATTTGGCGAACATCATTTTTCTTTTGTTTCCTTTTTGTTAAGGAAGTTCCAGGGATCTGGAATTGAGGACACAAGACGTTGTGTTCTTCTTGTGACAACGACTGAGTCTCTGCAACAGCATCAATTCTGGTTTCAGAATGGTTGGCTATGTCAGGTTTTTCTGTTCTTCGGAGAGAACTTCTTTTGTGTTTGATCTAGCTCGGGAATGGCGTGGAGATTGAGCATGGAGGGGATGCCTGGTTACTCGGATCTGTACGTATACTTGAACATCGAGGTGGTCATTGGTCTAGTTCAATGAAGTCCTTTTCTGCGAAGTCAAGTCGTACTCTAAATCCTTTGAGTTGTGATTGTGAGCGGCATATCGATTGTAGTTGGTCATTCTCTCTCGAGTGTAGTGAGGTCGTCTTGTCTTTTGATGTTCGTCCTTGGTGTTGTATTCTGATCTATATATTGCATCATGTGATTTTACATTTTATAAAACTTTTATTAGTTTAATATTTTTTAATAATGATTTTAGTTAGTTGTTTTCACAAAAGCTTTTTGTTTTAGTTCGGTTATTTTGAAGAGTTACTCACCCTTGAGTAGCTCTTATTAAAAATAAAGGTGTGGTCACAAAGCGTGGATGTAGCGCGGTGGGTTAGGCCGGCTATAGAGCATGCTCAGGACGTCCTTTCCTGGTGGGTTAGGCCAGGAGTGGGAGTATGATTTCATGCGGTGTTTGTGAGGGGTCCTGTTATGTGACAACGTTTTATGTTGGGTTTGTTGTGGTTTTACTTATGTCTTGTTGGTTATGTACTTTTTCCAAAAAGCAAATTGTTTGTGGTATGGGTTTGTCTTTCGACTTTTTTGTGTTTTATTATTTCTTTCTAAGACTTTGTAATAGTCTTCAAAAGAATAAATTATCCAGTTTTAAACTGGGTTAATCCGGTTTGGGTACCGTTGGTTTCCTTTTCTAAGTCATGCTGTTATTTTATGATTTGTGGTATTTAGTAAGCTGCGTTGGTTAGTTTTGTTTAGTATATGATTCCTTTCCAACCGGGTTAAAGGAAAGTTTGAAACTTGTTATTATATGTTAGAGTTGTTGAGTGTGAAAACTTGAAACTGAAATTCATTATTTTAAACAATTCTTCGTGGGCGAGCTGTGTGAGTGTGGATAGAATTTCTGTGCGAATGAATGAAAATATCAAAAGGTTAGTACTGCAATTGCATTTTATTAATTTACTGCATAGAATTTGGAAATTTACTGCTAGTAATGGGGGAATTTTAAGATACAAATTTTCATCATATGTAGATTTATTGCTTTGGGGGAAAATTTTATAAATTAATTTACTGCATTGGTATTTAATTGTTGGTGCAAAAGTTAAAAGGGTCTTAAACAGTTTTGAAGAAGTTTGCTATTTTTTATTTTTCTTTTGTGAATTTTTCAGATGATCGAAGATGAAGGCTAAAAATCTAAAGAAAACATGAATAAAGAATGGTGAGTTTTTTAATATTTTAATTAGTTAGTTATATTCTTTTAATTCATACTTACCTGTTAGTCGTCGGGGAAAAAACCGTGGGGGAAGATATCGTGAATTAGTTCTGAAGTTGTTAGTAGTTTAGCTAAGATGCGGATGATATTTTTAGTTTGAAGCAGTGGCCAAAGCAATTGAAGTGCCTTAATAGTGGTTAGTTCTTCAGTGCCTACTGCAAACTCATAAGGTGTGTTTTGGATTAAGTTATATAATTTGTGGTTAAATTTAGTGTTGTGGATGAATTCTAAAATGGGGATTTCTATAGGCTGTACAAACTCGTGCGGGATAAGGAAGGGTCGGGATTCTTCGGCGTTGAAGGTCTTGGTGATGGGGCAGAAAATGTACATTTGGGTTATGGGGTCATAGTTACGAAGAATACCATGAAGGTTAGTATCTTTAATACAATATGTGAAATTTAGGAAATACGGTGAAGTGTATTTTGAATTGATGAATTGAAAGCGATGGTGTGGTTGTCTAGAGGGTGTGTGGAGGTCAAAGTGATTTTGGATGAAACGATAGTAACTGTATGTATGTGTTTGTTTAGTTCGCAACATAATATCGTGTGAGCAGTGTAAATCTCTTTCGTGTGGTGCAAGGAAATGAAAGGTTAGTGAAAAGATTTGGAAGCGTTCTTTAAAACTTTCGTACGCTTGTGTGCTTGTTAGTGCTTCTGAAATAATGTGATCAAACTTTCGGTCGAAGATGTTTAGTGTAAATACATATGGTGTCTTGATGAAAAATTTCTCGGTGATTTGTGGGTTAGCGAAGCGATCGTCGTCTAAGAATTGATCTTGGTTAGCTCTGATGATGTTGTGATCGTAGTATTCTAGTGTATATTCATTAGCTCTAGGTGCAGTGTGTATTTTTAGTGATTTTTTATATCCTACGTAAGTAAATTGTCTAGCGGTGAGTGGTGTAGTTAGTCGATATAGCATGTCTTTGTTTCGGTCTATATCGATGGATGTGTTGGTTAAAGGTAAGCAAAGAGGGTTAGTGAAATGATAGTATGAGGTCCAAGAGAGAGTGGGCATTAAAACGTATTCGTCTACAAAGTTGCGTGTTTCGTTAGCGTCATGAGGGGTGTTTAAGGTGTATTGTGGAAATGAGGGTAAAGTGATAGCTAAAAATTCTCTAGTGTTAGTATGCTGGGGGTGGTTGATGTATTCACGGGCTGTTCCTGGTTTTGCTGGGAAAGGATGGTTGGGGAACTTTCTTTTAAAAGTGCGGTAAGCTCTATTAGTGTTGAGTGAGGATTCAGTTGATGTGGATGATGGTGCTAATGATTCAGTATAATTTGAAGAGGGTGTAGGGGGATTGGATGAAGTTGTAGTGGAGGAGATTTGGTTTATGGTCGGGGTGTTAAGGTGGTAGGGTTGTTGTTGGAGGGTAATAAAATTGTCTAGCTCTGGGGAGATTCGGGGGGTGTCTGGAGATGATTGGTCAGAATGGTATGAGGAGTAGGTTGGGGTAACTTGGGAAGCATAAGAGGGTGTAGGAGTGATGGGGTCAGGGTTATTTGACAATATGGGTTGAAAAGGAGGTTGAGAAAACTGAGAAGGGTTATGAAAATTATTGGATGGAGATGGTTCTGAGTCGGCAAATTCGTCGGGGGTTTCAATATTCGGGTTATTTAGCTGTGAAATGGAGTATAAAACTGAAATTTGTGAGTTAGTGTCGGAATTCATGCCTGATGTTACATTGCTAGATGGAAAATCGGGTGGCGGAAAAGCAAAAAGTGGTATTATTGGGATTGAAGAGGTAAGGTTGGTTGGATGGGAATTTGATCGATGGAGTGATCCAAGTTGGCGGCTCATCGTGGGCTAAAAAAATTATTATTTTGAGATTGAAAAGCGGTGGTATGTGGTTGTTCAATAATTTGTTCGTAAGTATTATCATCTTGTGATTGATGTGTCATTATATGTTGGACGGGACTTTGTGATGTGGTGAGTCTAAAGTTTGGATTATGTGTGATTGCTAAATTTCTAAAATTTCGTGGGACTAGGGATAGTGGATGGTTATTTGGTAGGGGTGGTAATTGTGGTGCCGTTGGCTGTGGGTCGACATTGTTATGTTCTTCGTCGTATGTATTTTGTCGTGTTGTTATTTTTGTGTTATATTCTTTTATTTGTGCGTCTAAAAGAATTTTGTTTATAGATGTGGAAAAAATTCCAAAAAATCCTGCAAAAAGTATGCGTGCTACGCTTGCTTGTCTGTTTACTTGTGTGTGTATAGCACATGTATTGTAAATTCCTTTTAAGAGTGAGAAAAGAAATCCAATAAAGTTAAACATTGCGTATAAAATAGTCAATTTTTCTAAGATGTAGTAGGGCCATCCTAGAAAATCTAGGATCTCATTTTTGAGTGTAACAAAGCTAAAAATGTTAATTGGTGATATATCTTGGGGACGGTATTTTTCGCCGTTTAGATATATATAATCTTTAATGTCTTTAAAATATCCGCTATAGTCTTGCGTGTAGATATCGGCAAATCCTGCAGTTTCTGCAAGTTTGCGTAAATTTTGGTCTATTGATTGTCTTTGTATAGTGTCCATTTGTGTTAATAATTCTTGGAATTGTTGTGTTCTAATGTGATGTTGAATATCTGATTTTGAATAGATTCCTATTGATTGTAAGTCTATATTTGGGTTTCGAGCAATAGCGCGAATGCTTTCTGGTGAAAATTTTTTGAGTGATTGCATTAATGTGGGATATGGAGTGAGAAGATAATATTTGTTTTCATCAGGGTTTAGTTGTACTACATTGTGGCTATTTTCTGATCCACATGGGACTGCGGTATCCCAGAAATAGGTTCTTCGTGAAAGTGTATCCACGAAATGTACTTTATTCTTATAAAAGATAGGGATCCTTTT